GGGCACTGGGCGGGTGCCTCCGGGTGGCGCGTGGCTCAGCGTCTTTAACAAGCCGGGCTTTACTTACCCTGGGGTCTCTTGAGTTGTGGGGACTGCGGCAGCGGGAGGCACGTGTGCCCCGATCTCCCTGCTCAGGCCGCACGGATGAAATAGCTTCCGCGTTAGAAGTGTTAACGGAGGACGATTTTGTCCCCTGCCGCCTTCCCTGGGCTGTATCTGTATTTCCAGCTCTTCCCTTCCCAGGCCCTGACACCCCAGTGCTGGCAGCGGAGCTGGTGGCAGGCTGCTCCCTCCTCTTTCCTTATCCCATCCCCTCTCCCCTGTCGTTTGGCGCAGCTTCGCCTTCCTGTGTCCTCTCCAAGAAGAGCAGGTGCGTGTGGGAACCCACAGAGGGCTCTTGGAGGGGATTTAGGGACAGGCCAGGGCTTAGCTGAAGAGGGGGAGCTGGAAACGACTCCCTTCCTTCAAAGTGGCCGCAGAAAACGGGTGCGAGTCTCGGGAGGAGACAGATGAAATCACTTCCCTCCGAGCACCCCTGTCCCTTTCCTTCCGCCCTGCTCCTCGCTTCCCTGCTTTCCCCCCCCCCCACCCCGTTCCCTGCATCACTCTCGTGCTTCCAGGAAGCACGAAAGTGGGGTTGCGGTGGGAGAGCCTGGATGCTCAGGTGGGATTCAGCTATCGCAGGGAGGTTTTGGCGCTTGTCACTGAAACCTCCCTTTCTGGGCGGTGGAGAGCTCGTCGTTTTAGGTGCTGGAGCGCAGCGTGCTGCGCCGCCTCTTAAAATGGAGGCCTTAAAATAGGCACGCGGAGGAAATGATTCATCTGACCTATTTCTTTCGTTGGCTCTTGTGCGATATGGGGATGTGCAGCTTGGACGCTGGTGTCTAAAATCAGGGGGGATGAATCTCACCCTCGTGGTCATTGGGCAGTGACTGAGTACGAGCCGACCACTGGCAGTGCACGGCCCCTGTGCTCGGTGCCCATCTACCCTGGTGGCAGGGCTGGATCCCCCGGTCTGACTTCTCCTCTGGCCGCTTTCCCCGTGGGCTTTCTGCAGGGCGTCTTGGAGAGGGCCGCTGCTACCTCCCACGGCTTCCCCTTGGAGAGGGGGGCTGCAGCGGGACCGTGTCCTGTTGCCCTCCCGTCTCGATGACGGCTGACCCAGGCTGGAATTTTCTTTGCTGGCTTGTGTTCTCGCCCCGGTGTCCCGTGACGCCTCGGATTTAAATCCCTGACGACCTGTATCGCGTTTCAAAGGGTGATTGAAGGCGGAGTAAACGCCAAGGTTTGGAGTCTAGGGTCCAAAGCGGTCTTCTTGCCCCTGTGAACTGTACAACCACTTCCTCACAAATCGTTTCTTGTCCCATAGCATGTAGCGGTAAGAATGAATAGACCTGCAAGTTGTCGTGTGAATAATACTGCAGTGGGATAAAGCGCAAGCCTGAATGTTTCTCAGTCCTGCAGGCCACCTCAGAAATCCCCTACCTTCGCTGCATAGCGATACCTTCTGCGCGCTGCTTCAACTCTTTGTGGCTTTTGCATTAATTTCCATCTGCGGTAGCATCGTTCCTGATCCTGAAGCATTCACAACCTGCTTGCAGTCCGGATGTTGACCTGCCTGCAGCGCTCTGGCCTGGCTAATTGGCCGGGCTGGTTGCTCTGGAGGTGCTGTGGCTCACCGCATCCCTCCGGACAAGGTGTTATCTGCTGTCTGCACGCAGCACTGCGGGTGAGAACCGGGGCTGTCTCTTACGGGAAGTTAGCGGCTATGAGTTCCTCCCGTTCTCGGGTGTTAGGCTGGCAAATGTGCAGGGTCCTGTTACGGTCCCCTGCTGTCAAATGTATCGTGGTGTGATCTGAGCTGCTCAGTAAGTTGATCGGATGCTTTTTGATTTCAGGCAGCCAGGGCTTGTGTTCGCCTTATTGTTGCGGCAGTGGGGTGCAGCCAGGTCGCGTGCACATCCCCTGCCTGGCGGTTCAATTTGTGCTGTGTGGCCTGGTGCGGGTTTCGACCCTGACTTCAAATAAGCGTTAAGCTGTGTCCTTGTAGCTGACCTCATCTGTGCCTTGGAATGAAATGCATTTTTAAGTGGTTTCAGGGTCTGAGGAGTCGGAACTGGTTGTTCCTGTCTGGGTTGCTTCTAGAATCATAACTTCTGCATCATTTCTCATCCAGCAGTGTGGAAAAATACTGTGGGAAAGGACTGCCTGGGCCATGGAAAGGGATACTCTTGTGGTCCAAGCTGCTATGCTCTAGGCAGTTGGTGCAGGAGCACCTGCAGGATATGCATCCTACCCTGCACGTATTGTGGTCCCGGCAGAATGCTGCAGCTGTGACAATGTGCCCACCTGCAGGTGACACCCTGGTGCTGAGCAGGAGAGCTCAAGGGCATCTGTAGTGTCCCAGGTGGAGGGCTGCTGATGAGATGGCCGTGGCCGTCTGCTGGGGGTCTGTGACGTTTCTGGGACCACAGATCCATTCTGTAGGAAACGCTGTGTGTTGCAGACTGAGGCAACTACCCTTATCTCCCTCCCAGTTCTTCCGCTTTGCCGTGCGTGAGAGGATGCCAGTGGCTTAGCTGAGCCAACGCTTCCCCCTTCCAGAGGTGCCCACCAAAAATAAGAGGCTTTGTGCAGGGTTTGGACCCAATGACTTCCCATGGCCGGTTCTGACCCCTTTTTTTTTTTCCTATGATTCTGTGAATACTACTAAAGCATGGTTAGTTTGGAAGGATCTGGTTGTTTGGGAGCATCTGCCTCTGATCCCCCAGGCTTTGCAAACCCACATAGACCCAGATAAAAAGCAGTGCCCGATGTCTCAGGTGCTGCCTCTAGCCCTGCTGCCAATGCATCTGACTGCTCTGAGCAGATGCTATTTATAGTGCATCAAGTACGAGTTTGGGTTTAGCTCGGCAAGGGTGGATTGCGTTTTGTTTTTTACAGTAGACCAGTGCAGCGGTGAACCAGATGCATCAGTCTGACTTCCCGCTAGGAGAAGGGTCTCGTTTGTGGATATCTGGAGAGGGATGCTCATGCAGGCCTCCCTTACAGAGGAATTGGGCACGACTGTTGTTTTTTACCACAGCAGAGTCCTTTTGCTAATATAGCGTTGGCTGCACGGATATGGATTTCCCTGTCTGTGCGCCCTTCTGAGGTGCCGGCCACGTTCAGGGTGACAACACTGAGTGCTCCAACAACGGTCTCTCGCAGCTGCGGGGCCGTTGCCGCTTGCTCCCCACACTTCCTGAGCTTATTTGGTTCCTCTTTGAGCAAGAGAGGCATAGCCTGTAGGCTGATTTTTGCCCTAAACTCTGTACTAGGGCTTCCAAACCTCCAAACACCCTTCCAGTTTGCACCCCGTCATCCTTTCAAGCTGTCTGAATGGCTGTTGGGTTTGGATCTTGTTTTGCTGGATACTGTCGCTGAGCAGAACAGGGCTGTGGCTGGGCCTGCTCTGTAACTCCAGTGCCTGATGCCACCAGCTGCTGCCTTGTGCTGTTCTTCTGACTTGGGTTGTCTCACCTGCGTGGGCCAGTCCCTGCTTGGCTGCTTCTCATCCTTTGCTTTGCTCCAGCGTTTACTTTTAAGAAGTATACCTGGTATTTTCCTTGCTTCCTTCCCAGCTCTCTGCAGCCCCTTGTCCGTGAGCCCTGTTTTAATTGCGCAAGGGGTGGTGTGGGGGGGGGGGTGGGGGGGGGGGGCACACGTTCCAGTTGCAGAATGACAACAAGGCCTGTTCCTCCTGGTTCGTGGCACAGTTTGCTTTTGCTTGAGGTGTGTTGCTAAGGCCCTGGTAGTAGGGCCTGCTTGGGGAGCTTGAGATGGGAAGTTGATGGGTAGGGAACGTGCTGCGAGATGCTCGAGGGGATTTCTGTTGAGCCCTTCAGCGTCTACTGTGCATGAGCACAGAAAGCCCAGCTGACAGCGGCGAAGGCTGCTTTCACAGAGCCACGAGCAGGGGGCCTGTGACCCTCAGGTCCCAGGGGACAGCTGGCGGGTGTTCGCACCGCGCCGCCCCATCGCAGCTGTACCAACCCGCCCGATCCGGCCTAGTCCTCCTCACCCGGCCCACGCGTTCCCTGGAGTCACCTGAGCCTTTCTTCCAGCTGCCAAATCTCCTCGCTAATGCGTGTATGTGTGTCATCCTTGCTCTTAATACGCCTGGCAGCTTCTGTGCCTCCCCCAGCGGCTGCCTGTGCCTCTTGCAGCCGCAGTCTGCCTGCTCCCCACCTGCCGCGCGTCACGGGCAGCCACGGAAAGGGGGCTTGCCCCCTCATCTTTCCTCTTGCTGGATCAAGCCCTGGTGCAGAGAAGGCATCTGGACAGCTGGCTACAGCCAAAGGTGGCTCTGAGCTGGTGGTTTTGGGGACAGAAAGTATTTGTTGGCAGTGCTAGCTTTGAGAAGCTTCCCTGCAGTGCCGTTTGCCATCTCTTGGCTGGACTGACTGAGGCTGCGTGCTACGCTGCAGGCTGTGTTGGCGACCCGGCTTAGCTAAAATAACTCGTGGGATCTCCCCTCTTGTTTCCCCACTTCTCTGCCCCTTCCTTGCTCTGCCCAAGCCCTTGGGCTGTTCCAACCTGCTGTGGCCCGTGAGCGTGAAACGGCAGAGTGCAGGGTGCAGTGCTGTCAGCGTCGCTCTCTGCCTGCTCCTTCCCGTAGACACCATCGACATTGTGCGAGACCCCATCTCCCCTGGGGAGTACAAGCCCGAGGAGGACCCGAAGCTGTATCACTCCGTGAAGACGGGCCGGGGCCCACTGGGCGATGACTGGCTGGAGGTGGCAGCCGGTGGGCCCCTGATGTGCGCCTACAAGCTCTGCAAGGTGGAGTTTCGCTACTGGGGCATGCAGTCCAAAATTGAGCAATTCATCCACGACGTAGGTGAGTGTGGGGCCTCGGCACCTCCCCACCTGCTGCTTCCGACGCCCCTCGGCTGATGGGCGCTGCGGTCCTCCAGCAGCCGTGCTGGGATGCTGTGACCGTTACTCAGTCGGCACCGGTATTCGTCCGGTGTCTGCGCCGTCCTGGCGTTGCCCTGTGCCAGCAGAGCCGGCGCTGTGCTGATAGAGGGAGAGGAGGGCTGGTGCAAGGAGCCATAAAGCTGCTGGGCATGTTTTGGAGGATGCACACATGAGACTTATTTGGAAAGCAACTGGGAGGGCCAGGGTGGCTGGGGGCAGCCCCTGAAGCTATTAAGAGCTTTGCCTAGGTGGGGCAGCCCAAACCACCAAGCAGGGTCTGCCAGGGGCTTGGGCCGTGCCTCGCTCATCTTGCTCTCGCAGGCCTGCGCAAAGTGATGCTGCGAGCGCACCGCCAGGCCTGGTGCTGGCAGGATGAATGGACGGACCTGACCATGGAAGACATCCGACAGCTGGAGGAGGAGACGGCCCGTATGCTGGCGCAGAAGATGGCCAAGTGCAGCGAGGCTGAGGAGCCCCCTGCGGCTGGCCCCAGTGCCGAGGGACACCCGGAGCTGGGTGGTGCCAACGGGCAGGACAATGCTGAGCCGCAGGGGGCATCCGATGCCTCCCCCGATGATACCTTTGCTAAGCAATGGTCCACGTCTTCCCGGTCATCCTACTCTTCCCAACACGGAGGTGAGAGACGTGGCTGGGAAGAGGGACTCTGTGTCTGGTGGGATGGGGGTCCCTTTCCTGGGGGAGAAGATGGGGACCCTGGAGCCCTTCACAGGAGGGGATGGTGTAGTGGGGGGACCCTATCTTTCCCGACCTGGATCTCCCACTAGATGAGTTTGGGCACAGGAGCCACCTTGGGGGCTCGGGGCAGCAGGACCTGTAGGTCCCATGAAGCAGGAGCGATATCTGGCTGCAGAGGGGGATCTGGCTCTGACCCCTTATCTGGGGCAGGGGGGGTGTCTCCTCAGAGCCTGTCCGAGTGGCGCATGCAGAACATCGCACGGGACTCCGAGAACAGCTCCGAGGAGGAGTTCTTCGATGCCCACGGTACAGCAGAGCGGCCCTGCCCGGTCCCCGTGGCCGAGCCTTGGGGAAACGCAGGGTTTCGGTGATTGAGACCCTGGCCTGAGGCTGGGCCCTGGTGGAGAGGGAGTTCCCACAGCAGGCCCATTGCAGGCTTGTCTGTGCTCTGGGTTGGCTGGATTCTACCTCTGCTGTCCCAGGAAGGGTTCCTAGGGTGGGTGTTAGCTGCCACAGTAGGAGCAGGGTGTGGGTGCAGGGGATACAGATTGAGCTTTGAGGGACCACCTGCCCACGGCGCCGTCCCTGCTGCCACAGAGGACCTGTCCGACAGTGACGAGGTCTTTGCAAAGGAGATGACGAAGTGGAGCTCTAACGACTTCCTGGACACGCTGGAGCGGCCAGTGGAGCTGGATGAAGTGCTGGGTGAGTCTGGGACAGCTGTGAGCCTTATGCACTGGGGGCTGTGGTGGGGAAGGCACCATTGTGGGTGTTTGACCCATCTACTGCCTGAGACCTGGCATGAGTGTCCCAGGACAGGAGCCAGATCCCTTTCTGGAAACCCCAGGTAGGCTCATCCAGGCCCTGATTTGCAGGGGATGGAGCCAGCGCGGCCAAGGCAGATAGTGAAGGACTAGCGGGGCCCGGCTTCCCGGAGGTATGTGCATCCCGCTCTCCCCTGCCCTCAGGCTGGGTAAATCCAGCCGTGCCCTCCCCAGCATGGGTGCCCGTGGGGTAGATGGCAGCGCTCTCCTTCCCGCAGGGTGGTTCAGTGGAGAGCGCGGCGCAGGCGTGTCGGATCCACGCGCTTTTCCTCATCCTCCACAGCGGGAACATCCTGGACCAAGGCGCAGGCGAGCCAGGCTCCAAGCAGGCTGACGTGCAGACGCTGGCTGCCACTTTTGATGCCGTCACCCGTGTCCACTTCCCGGAGGCTCTGGGGCACGTGGCGCTTCGCCTGGTGCCCTGCCCACCCATTTGTGCTGCTGCCTATGCCCTCGTCTCCAAGTACGGCTGGTGTCGTGGTGGGCTGGGGAGGGGGGTTGTGCTCTGCTAGCCTGGGGTGATATATCATGCTACGGGCAAAGGAGGATGCCATTTTCCCTGGCAAATGGCCCAGGGTTGCAGGAGCAATCAGGGAGGTGATGGTCCCGGAGAGGGGACTCTCTTCCACCTGCTGTGGCCTCTCGGGGCAGGGCAAGCGTCATGCAAGGGAAAGCACGATGGGACGGGGGAGTCAGGGCAGGGGCAGCCCTGCTTATTCTCCCCGATCTCTCAGGCTTAGCCCGTACAGCCACGATGGAGACAGCCTGTCCAGCAGCCAGGATCACATCCCGCTGGCAGCCCTCCCGCTCCTGGCCACGTCCTCGGGGAGCTACCAGCATGCCGTCAGCACCGTTATCACTCGGGCCAACCAGGCTTACAGCGCCTTCCTGCACTCTGGGGAGGGGGCCGGCTTCTGTGGCCAGGTGAGAGGTGCCGGGGTGGGCAGAGGTGCTGGCCAAACGGGGCACTTGAGCTAAAAGTTGCTAGAGGCTGGGGAGGATTTGGGGAAAACATTTCTCCTTCCCAGGCATCTGCTGCTGGTCATGGGGCTCCTGGAGCTTGGCTCCAACCTGGACAGTTTTTCCTGTGTCCCAAGGCAGAGGGGAGGCTTTCTCCTTCCAGGCCCTCGACATGGGTCTGGGCTGTCCCGCAGGTGGTTCTGGTCGGGGACTGCGTGGGAGGCATCCTGGGCTTTGATGCGCTGTGCCAAAGCCGAGCGGGCTCGGGGGGCAGTCGGAGCAGCAGCCGCAGGGGCAGCCTGGTGAGTGCCTGCGATACTTGGAGCCCTGTCCGGTCCCGTCCACCCCCTTCCCCACCGCCCCTAGCAGCCCCTGTGCTCTACCATCAGCATCCCGGCGTGTCTGGGAGCATGGGGATGGTGGGAAAGGGATTTGTGCTCTTGGGTACCTCTAAGGAGGTGCTCTTGGTGGTGGATGGGGGTGCAGGGCTAGCAGAACGAGATGCTCGTCCAGGGGAATCGTGCTATGTTCAGCCGCGGTGCCCCTCAGCGAGGATGGGCAGGGACTAGTGATGGTGGGGGAGCGTGTCCCTGGCAGCTCAGCTCAGCAGATGCCGAGCGCTCGCTGCTTTTCTTCTCCCAGAACGTGGAGCCCATCTCCCCCGAGTTGTGTGGTGGGAGAGACCCACTGGCCGAAGGGGCAGACGGAGCAGGAGGATCGGCCCAGGTCAATCCGGAGCCGGGGGCACAGCTGACCTCCCGGGAGCCTGGGGACAGCCAGCACCACAGCTCCTTGTGCAGGTGAGAGCGCCCTGTGCACTGGGTGCCAGGAGGGCTGGGGTGCAGTCGGGAAGCACCAGATGCCCCACCGTGGGTGGGCAGGGTGCTTGCACGCAGCTGCCCGGTCCCTGCGGAAGCACCGACGCTCACTGGAGCGACTGCGACGGGTTATGCTTTACGTCTGGGGTGGCTGGGAAATTTGCTCTTTGCAGCCCCGTGGGAGATCGAGCCTGAGGAGGAGCGTTGCATGGGTATAGTCCTCTCCCGAGCGCTGGGGACATCTTGCTGGAGCTCTCCTGCTCCCAGGAGCTCCTCTCCGCTAATGGCCATGGCGGGCACAGCTTTGCCTGTCCCGCGGCACAGTGGCTCCTGGATCTGGTGGGACTGGGAAGACCCCGTGTATCCTGGCTGAGACTCACTCTGCTCTGCTGTCCAGCTTACAGGCCAGCGAGCCCCCGCTGGAGGCAGAGCTGCTGCGGAGCGGTAGCTCAGCGCTGGATGGGGCTGAGGGCACCAGCGCCCGTCTTGACTTTAAGGTATCCGGCTTCTTCCTCTTTGGCTCTCCGCTGGGGCTGGTGCTAGCGCTGCGCAAGACCGTCATGCCTGCTATGGATGGTGAGGACCCCCGTGAGCTGTGAGGCCTCAACAGAGGCCCTGCGGTGCAGGTCCTGGACCTTCCCTGCTCCGTTGTCCTCTAGTGCTGGGGCCCCAAGGCTCAGCTCAACCCCTTGTACCCGCTGAGATATGAGTCATGCTCCCCCTGTGCAAGCCTGAACCCCACCTGGGACCTCCCCAAACAACCCTGCTTGGGTTTGAACCCCTTGCAGGCTGAGTCCCATGCAGATCTCAATGTTCACGCGTGCCCGAGTATCCCCTTTGCTGCTCTGTGCCAACCTGAGCCTGGCCCAGTGGTCCAGGCTGTGGACGTGTCCCTTGCTCGGACCAAAGCGCCTCTCCTGGTATCCTGGGCTTGCTGCTCCCAGTGCCCAGCTGGATGCAGCCTCTCCAGGGCTGATGCAGGGACTTTCCCCCAGGCCTGGCCTTTCCCCTTGCTTTGCAAAGGCCTGAATGCACTGTGAGCTCCTTTTGCCTTCCCTGCCGTGGGCCTGTCCTTCCTGCCTGCACCCTGGGGCTCCCTGCCAGGCAGGGGCAGGTTTAGGCACCCTGCCATAGGGGTGCAAGCCCAAGCCGCTCTCCCTGTACCTTGCAACCCTCGCGTGTCACTGTCTGAGCCCTGTCCTCCGTCATTGTTGGGCTCCTTGCCACCTGCCGTGCAGGCTGGGCCACCTTGGGAGCCCCGACCCCCTCTCTTTGCCCCAGTGGCCCAGCTGCGTCCCGCCTGTGAGCAGATCTACAACCTCTTCCACGCGGCCGACCCCTGCGCCTCTCGCCTGGAGCCCCTCTTGGCCAAGGCCTTCCATGCTGTGCCACCTCTCAGCGTTCCCCGCTACCAGAAGTACCCGCTGGGAGATGGCACCTCCTCACTGCTGGGTGAGCGCTTGTGGCACTGCAGGAGCCTCACCGGGCGGGTGGAAAGGGAGAAAGGTGACTTGCAACCCCTGCAGCCCCCTTTGGTGCAGCACAGGAGGTCGTGGTGGGGTTTCTCCTCTCATTCGAGGGGCGTGCAGGGCCTCTCTGGCTTGCCGAGGCTGGCACCGATGATGCTTCTCTGGCTCCTGAGCACCAGCAGATGCCAGGAAAGCTGAGACACATCCAGTGGCTGCTCCAGCGTCTGTGTGAGCGTGCTGGCCCTGCAGCGGGCAGGGGAGGAGCAGAGCGGAAGGATCCCTGCAGCGATGGCAGCAGCGTGGCTGGGCATCCCCACAGGAACTTGGGGCCATGGGGGAGACCCCGGGCAGGTCCCAGTGCCACAGCCTTACCCTGCGCTCTCTGTGGCTCTGCAGCAGACGCCCTGCAGACGCACTCTGCCCTCTTCTTGGCTGAGGTGGACGTGGCCGTCCCTAGCACCCCCACCAGCAGTTTCGGGGGCTTTTGGAGAGGCAGCGAGCCAGGCGAGCCCCCCACTCCAGCCAGCACCAGCGAAGTTGTCAAGAGTAAGTGCTAGCCTCTGCCCTGGGTTGCCCATGCTGTGCCAGGGAGAAGTGGGTGGTTGGGCGTTAGACCTGGGGCCAGGGCAAGGCAAGAGGTCCCGAGACGTGGTGCAGAGCATGAAATGGGTTCAGCATGGATGGGTTCATCTATGGGTGGATTCATCTGAGCTCGCACCACTCTCCCTGCAGTTCTGGAGCGCTGGTGGGGCCCAAAGCGCATCGACTACTCGCTGTACTGCCCCGATGCACTGACCGCCTTCCCCACCATCACCCTGCCTCACCTCTTCCATGCCAGCTACTGGGAGTCTTCTGACGTGGTGGCCTTCATCTTGCGGCAGGTGCAGCGGGCACACGGGTGGGCACGGTGGTGTGGGTTGGGCCAGGGAGGCTAAGCTAAGGCCATGCTGCTCCACAGGTGATCGAGAAGGAGGGGCCACAGCCAACGGAGAGCGAGGAGAGCTCTATCTACAGCCCCGCTATCCCCCGGGAGAAGTGGCAACGCAAGCGCACCCAAGTGAAGATTCGGGTACGTGCCCTCCCAGGCTGTGCCTAGTCGCTGCTTTCTGTGCTGTGTCCGTCTGGGATTTTACCCTTTCCTCGGGCAGGCATCGGGCTCGAGGTGTCCCTGGATGCCTGGCCTTACCTGCCAGGCTCTGGGCATGGCCAGATCCTCAGATGGCTGGCTCTACAGGGTGTTGTGCCAACGCAGCCAGGATGGCTGCCTCCGGAGGGCTTGCTCGTATCTGCCAGGATGATGCTTGCCCTCGGGGTTGAGACTGGAGCCGCTTGGGTCCTGTGGCTTGGCAGGGCATGTGTGCCAGCCTGGGGCTCCCAGGGGTGCCCTGGGACGTGGGTGCCTCCTGTGCACCAGGCAGGCATACCACCCCGATGCAGTGTACCTGGCACAGCTGTTGGGCACATTGAGTTTATACGTGGACTGAAAGGTGAAGGGTGAAGGGAACGGGTTTGAGAAGGGTTATGGGAAGGTGATGGGGGAGAGAGGATGAAGCATATTGTCCCCTTCAAGGGGTGGCCTTGCCTGTGCCTATGCGTTCCTGCCCTGCCCAAGCAATCTTGTCCCTCCTGGGGCAGATGCTTGGGCAGAAAGGTGTCTGGTGATAACCTGTTGTGGCTGCTGAGCCTTGTATGTTCTTGCAGAACGTGACAGCCAACCACAGGGCCAGTGACACCATTGTGTGCGAGGGCAAACCGCAGGTCCTCAGTGGGCGCTTCATGTATGGACCCTTGGACGTGGTGACACTGACTGGGGAGAAGGTATCGCTGGGGCTCATGAGCCCCACTGGGACCTACCTGGGGTCTAGGTGGACAGGGCAGGGACCAGTATGTCTATGAGTGGGCATATGGCTGGTGTCCGCTGTGTCCTGGGGGGCAGGGGAAGGGTTATAAGGAGCAAGGAAGGCCCCTCAGGATCCTTTGGGATGGTGGGAAAGAGCCATCGTGTCCTGTAGATGTGTGGTTGGGGGTGGAGAAAGGTGGGGACATAGCAGCCATCAGGACCTGACAGGGTGGACAGACTGCCTGGGGCCAGTCCTTGATCAGCCCCTTTTTCCTGACCCAGGTGGATATCTACATCATGACACAGCCGCTATCGGGGAAATGGCTGCACTATGGCACTGAGGTGACTAGTGGCAGTGGGCGTCTGACCTTCACCATCCCTCCAGACAAGGCCCTGGCCATCGGCATATACCCTGTGCGCATGGTGGTAAGGTGAGAGGTGGCCAGGGCTGACGCTCGGTTTGGTGCAGGTAGGGGCATCTCAGCTTAGATCTTGCTCTGTGAGCGCGCTCAGCCTGAAGGACCTCAACTTTGTAGCACCCTGTTACCATAGATATCCCTTGGGTGGTGGCTCCTTTCCGCCCTCCCTTTGTCTTGGCTGCGTGCATTGGCCAGGCCATGTCCACCTTTGCTCCAGCCTGTATGTTGGGGGCTCCTGGGCAATGCGGGAGGAAGCCTGGTGGGACGGCAGGCGTGCTGGGCGCTGGAGGGTGGGAGGGTCCCTGCAGCTCTGCAGGTGCTGAGGTGGCAGACTCTGCTGCTCTCCTATGCCAGGGGTGATCACAGCTACGCGGAGGCGTATCTGACGGTGGTGGCACGGGGCACCGAGTCGGTTGTGTTCAGCATCGACGGCTCCTTCACAGCCAGCGTCTCTATCATGGGCAGTGACCCTAAAGTGCGGGCTGGTGCTGTTGATGTTGTAAGGTAGGTGCCCTTCTCACAGGGTGGCAAACGCCCTCTCCTATCATGATGATCCATTTGTGAGATCAGGGTAGCAGGGACATTGAAACAAGCCTCCCATCCCCTGGGAGAGCTGGGGGCATCTTTCGCTACCCATAAAGGCCTTGCCTGGATCCTCATGGCATTCCTTTGCGGGCAACTTCTTGCAGAAAAACATTTCCGCCTTTCCCTGGAGCCTGGCAGTATCTGGCCCTGCTGCTGGGGCACCAGCTGCTCCTCAGCTGGGCTTCATGTGGGCTCCCAAGGCTGCGCTGGAGAAGGGCTGTCGCAGCAGAGATCTGTGAGGAGGGAGCTGCTTTGGCTGCACCCATCGTAATGCCAGGACCGCTCAGCATGTGCCATCAGCAGGCCCAGGAGGTGGTTTTCCTGGAGGCCTGGTGAAGATGCTCTGATCTGTTCCTGGAGGCACTCCACTAACAGTAGTTTTAACTGCAGAAGCCTGTTGTGGTACGACACAGTGCTGCTGCACATCCAGAGTTGCTGAAGTCCTCAGAAGAGGAATAAGCATGGCCTTTGGGCAAGCATGGGGCAGGATTTAATTCATGGGGGAAGCCAGGCGTGCCGCTCCCTTGGGTGGTTCTCCCTATTTGGGAGCCAGAGCCCATGGATGATCTCTGGGAGAAGCTCAGAGGCTTCCCCTCTGGCAGAAGTGTCCCTGAGAGGGCTCGGGAGGACCTGTTAAGCAGGTTCTGCCTTCTCAACTTCTTTGTCACAACACAACCGGCTTCTTTTTGTCCTTCCGGCTGCTCTGTCATTGACGATTTCCCCTTTCCCCTAGCGAATTAGTGGTTTAGTTGCTGTGTTGCTGCATGTTTCCGGTAAAGCCTGCAGCAGGTGTACTCGACAGTGGTGTCCCCCTCTAGTTCTTCTGTCCTGGTGGCCGCAGCCATCTCTGCCTGTCTCCACTGCTCCGGTGGCCCTTTCCTTGTTGTCCCTGATAGAAAATGTTGTGCTTAGCTCCCGGCCCTGCCTTGGTGCCTCCTCTGGCCAGGCCACGTCCATGTTTGCTGCCTTCAGCCTTCTGCCCCGCTGCGGTGTGCGATGCACACCCCATCCGGCCGCCCGGCTGGTGGCCCTGCCCTTCGCACCAGGCACTGAATTCCCTGTGGCCCCCGCCACCCCGAGCCTTCCTCGCGCCGTGCAGCGACACATCCTCCCTTTCCCAGGCACTGGCAGGACTCCGGCTACATGATCATTTACGTGACGGGACGTCCCGACATGCAGAAGCACCGCGTGGTGGCCTGGCTCTCCCAGCACAACTTCCCCCACGGCGCCGTCTCCTTCTGCGACGGTCTCACCCACGACCCCCTGCGCCAGAAAGCGGCTTTCCTGCAGAGCCTGCGCACTGAGGTGGGCCCCGGCCCCAGCTGCTCGGGGCTGGGGATGCCAGCAGGATGGGACTGGAGGGCTTGACGAGGCGGCTTGGGGCCTGCGGGGGGGGTGGGGGGGGCCCGG